GGGGTGGGGGATGGGGGGAATAAACCTTTTGGAATGAGATATCCTTATAGCAACCACAACGGTAGCTTATGTGGAACTAGGGGACCGGGGGAGTACAATCTGTTGTTCTTGCTAGTCTTACTTTGCTTCCAATTCAAAAAACTAAATAACCAGAATTTATCATATTTGGTGGTTGGTTAAGTCGTCTGCCACGCCAATAGTTAAATGCACCTGAAAAATCCGTATTTATTTATTTCTTGCAGGGAGAGAAATTAACCTTCTTGGAATGTCCAATGAACATCATAACTTAATATAGTTTCCGACAAGGAGCTGTTTCTGTTTATCATAATCCTATTGTTCAATGAATATTTCCTACAAAAAAAGAGACATTTACTCTCAAGGGATCACCATCAACTTTACTATTTGATTTTAATGATGGAAAGTAAGCCCCTTTCAGACGGTCAAAATGGGCAAAAATCACAGGGATGTATGAGGTGTATAACATATAATCTGCGCAAAGCAAATATACTGGAGTGTTGCAACTAGCTAGAAGTTTGATTTCTTGAGAAGGAATCAAGAAAATGGGAGGAATGCCCACAGTGATTACCTCATATTCGGCGTTTCTTCTTTTCAGGAGTTGCATGTACCTGTGCTTTGATCCCATATGTCTTTAACTGAAAATTTTCAAAAGCCTTCGAAATCTCTCCAACCTAAAACAATGAATAAAATTATGCTGTGATTCAGGAAAAAAATGCAAAGGTATTTTTTTAATAAACCACAAAATATATCTTTCCCTATACCAGTTCAGGCTTTTTGGAGTACACTCTCACTATCATATCTTGATAAGATGTTGGCAGCAAGTGGCTAATGCGATCATCAGCAATAGAGAATTTCTCCTCGCTCTCATAATCCTGACAGAAATCAGAGCGGTTAGAAGCTGCATAGTTTGTGAAATAAAAAGGGCAGAGAAGAGAGGGAAAAAAAAGAACACCAATGACGCATGCACGCGTGGGTGGGGGAGAAATGGAAATAAAAGAAACTGTCAGTGAAACCAGTCAATTTGATTATAAAGAAATTCATTTACCACTCCCACCACTGTCATCTATATAAATATTCCTCAACCCTCACCCATGCTCACAATATCTAAGAAGCAAGTTTAACATATAACCAGAATGTAAACCAAATAATTAGTTTAAACTTCTAGATGGCACCACTTCAAGAGGTATATATTCAGGAGGCAAGTATTATCTCAAGAATAGAGATATGTATTTATGTATCTTAAAGCGTATAACACTGTTGAGGAATATGCAACGATTAATCAGACAAGTGAAGGATTAGATTGTCCAAGGTAAAATGCAATATGCATTCATTCCCCTCGTGTCTACAAGAACCTATTCCGGGGTTCAATTTAAAGAAGCAAAAATGAAAAGGGAAAAAGAAGTTAAAAAATGTAGAAGAATAATTCGATTGAATGTTTGCATACATTAAAAATGCAGATTATCTTATAAATAACATGCTATTATGTCCTTCAGTGTCTAAACACCAACTTAAAAATTTTAATTTTCAAGGTTTTGTGTCCCATCGCCAACAGTTCTACCAAGCGACATGATGATTCTTTGGCCACTCATGGTATCTTACTCGAGTGCCTCTATTACAAAGAGGAGTCAAATGGATTAACAACCCCGTTTTGCACTGCGAGTTGGCATCATTCATGGCCACACAGTTTTTGCTCACAAACAATTTCCTGCCTTCACTGACTTCGGGACAATGTAGCTTCTTTGACAGTAAAGTTTATAGACCAACAATATAGCTTAAACACTGTCTTTCGTTTCCATGTTATAAACTATGCAATAAAATCGCCTTTCTATTATCTATTTACATGGAGTTCTACAAATATTGTGTCTTTCAAGAGTTGTCGCGTACTTTAGTGTTGCAAGTCTTCAGTTGATTTGATGAACAATACTGGGCCAAGTATGATCAGGGTGCTCATATATGTCTCCATCAGTAAAACTGGTTGGCCATACCATATCATTTAATTTTTCTACCATACAGATTCAATATTTTTACCCAGAAACGGAAGACAGAAAACCCCCTCCCCACAAAACCACCCCTAAATAAAACTAATGAAGTGAAGACAAATAAAGAACCTGAAAATTTTAACTGTCCACACATACAAGTATATTCTAAAAGGGTTTGGAAAGTTAAACTAAATATGCATACCTTGAAAAAGTTGATGCTGGGGAGGCCATACATGCAAAATCACAGAGATCATTAAAAACTAAAATGGTTGCAACACAGTTATGAAAAGAAATGAAAAGAAGAAAAAAGACAGGAAAAAAAGGGAAAACAGAAATGGCCAAAAATGCCTCAAAACCTTTCACATACTTTTCAAGAGGATTACGCCTTCCACGAGTCAAATCAATCTTTACATTGCTAACAGCAATATCCTCTTCTCTTAGTATCAACCCGCCAGATTTCTGTTTGATGAATATTACTTGATGCCCAATATAAGAAACCCTTCCTACTTCCCTTAAAAAAGCAAACCTATGTATGCATGCACGTGTCATATGTATACAACAAGTATATGCCATACCTGAGAACAAACAATATCTTGTGCAGTGACATCTTTAAAATTTTCCACTTTGTCTCTAGGAACAGCATATTCATTGCAAAACTGCCATAAAGAAAGCAAAATACAAGCTTTAACTTCACTTTTTATTATTAATTGAATTTAAAATACAAGATACAGTATACTAGTAAGGGAAATCAATCAACAGGAATTTAGAGCTTCTATACCTGATACAAATCTCTCCTACGAATGCGGAGGATCAAATCCCTAGATTCCCTTAACTCTTGGTCTGGAGCTGTCTCAATTGTTTTTATAATGGTGTCATCTAACTGCATCTCAAAGAATGGAAGAGCAGAAAAGTTCTATCAAAATAGCCATTTTTAACTAGATGGAGAATTGTTATAGAGAGCTTTACAAACCTTCCAATATTGAGAAGGATCATGGACATGAGATGCTATGTCTAGATAATCATTTGCTTTCATCAGGGCATCTACAACCATCAGCTCTATTGCCTGACAGAAATGGAATCAGATAATTTTGGCATCAGATACAGAATGTAAGAGGTGATACAAAAATTAAAAATTTCAGGTTTGTATTATTATATTGGCTGGAAAATCTGCTCAATGAACACGCAGTCTAGGTGTCATACCTTTACTTTTGCATGAGCATAGACCGTTCTATACAGATCAGCACGAGTGGCAAATAACTTGTGGACTGTAAGATCTGAAAAATCATTCAATCATAAGCAGAAGAGAAAAATTGTGACCCATGATTAGGAAGAGTCGAAGAAAGATACTAACAATCCTTAGCACGATAGCATATCTCATCACCCAAAACACGCATTGTTTCCATTAACCTGCAGGTCACGAGCAAAAATCATGCCGTAAACCATTCTTGTTTTTATTATGGCACTTGGTTATGAATGTACCCAGACAAAGGACTGGCTTATATGTGTATGTATTGAATCCACAAGAAGATTTAATGAAAACCTCTGAAACTGGAAGTTGCATCCTAGACCACAAGCTCGGCAGTCACGGGCAATGTAATCAAACCTGCAGATCATTTTCTAACTCTTTAATAATAGCAGACACATCAATCATGTAGGCATAAAATGGATGGGCTAACAATCAAAGGTTGTGGGCAATCACTTTGTGCAAATAATGAAAATTATGTACTCAGTCCACCCCTCTTAGTACCTTTCTTTAAAGGAGACAAAATAGGGTAATGACCTTTTCTCTATATCTATATTAGTACACACAGATTAAATTATGGAAGAAGAATAAAAGCAAGAAGAAGACAAGGAAAAAGAACATGGAGAAGGAATAAACACAAAATTCTAATAGATAATCTGGTTAATGTTGACTGACTTGTCAACATCAATTCCATTTCGACCATTTGCAACAATATCGTACAAAAAATGCTTTTCCCTTCTGCTCTGCATAGTACAAGAACAAAATACATAGCAACTATAAGCATACATTATGAAAGACAATAAATCTAGAAAGTGTCTGCATAGGTCCTTCCAGGTTTTAATCACGTCTCATCAAGTGGAATATCAAAAAAGAAAAGTAATCAAAAGAGAGAACTTACCTTTGGCTGAGCAAATTCAGAGCTAGCAAGTACCATCTCCTGCAAACGAAAAATACACAAAAAGCAAAAGCTGCACTTGACTTCAATCACAATATAGCAATGCACCATTTCATTCTAGTAAGCATCCTTCACGAATGTATACAATTTTAACAACATATGCAAGGAACACACCCAGGTAAAATACTCTCATACAGGAGCTCCAAATGTGCACGAAAGGATAAAAACTAATAAAAAGAGAATTTTCCAACCACCTTATAGCAGCTAACATCAATAAAGGTCCGCTTATGACCACAAACCAACTTTATAGAGACTAGAGTCCATGGCGTGATATAACTCCATATCTCCACTCAATTATAGCCTATCACTACATTGTGACTCTAATAAAGCATAGACGTAATTTAAGTATTTCACAAACACATTTCGATTCAAGTTTCTTTGTCAGAAGGTTCATTTTGCTTTAAGTTGCATAATTAAGAATTTGAACTAAAGAGTACTTACAACTTACAAGTACTTTGAATAAATAGGAAAATAGCAATACAAAGGAGAGGTGTCAAACGTGTCGGATTAAACAATTACTAAATAGGAAAATAGCAATACGAAGTAGAGGTATCAAATATGTCGGGTTAAACGAATGACGGATGAAAAACATGAAAACTCATACATGACATGTTTAATAAATTGGTGAAAAACTTCAATACAAACACGAACCGTTTAATAAACGAGTAACACGACGTGACTCGTTTAGTTAAAAAAAAAATTTATTTATTTCTATGGCTATCACCAAAAACAATTTATATATATTTTTTGTTGTTGTCACTAAAAAAAAAATTCTGGCTAATTTTTTAAAAATAATTATTTATTTATTATTATATTAATTTTATTTAAACGGGTTGACAGAACTCACCCCGAACACGACCTGTTTATTAAACGTGTCTAACGAATTAACCTGTTTACCACTCGAATCCATTAAGATCTCACCCAAACTCACTTAATTCGTGTCGGTTACTCATGTCATATCGGACTTTGATTGGCCTAATACGAAGTACTTCATGTGCCATGTAATAAGCCAAAGGCGCCTAGCAAATAACAAATGAGATGTCACGACATCTAATGGGTAGGGTGAGTGATCATGGATTGAAATCTTTCTGACCCTACAGAGAGAGAAGCTTAGAGGAGCAAAAAGGACAATACTAAGACCTTCAATACGAGAAGTGCTTTACCAGTGTAGATAGTTTACCAATTGGACTGCCATCCTCAGATTAGTAAAAGTAATATGATAATTAAACCACCCAATGCAAGGAAAGCTGTCCTTATTTATTTCTGCATCCAGAAATACACTTTAATCTTTGCATTTATACTATTTTTTTTCTTTTTAGTACTAATCTCCGTCCTTTAAATCTTAATAGCAGCTAAAATAACTCTAATCAAAGAAAACCTTCAACCTCTGTGATGACTCAACTATGTAATACATAACCTGTTGCAAGTTTTGGTAGATGTACTGCAAATATATCAACTTACCTTAACTCTCTTGATAGGATCAGCGTCAATTTCAATATGGTGCTCATCAACAATATAGTCAATCATCTCCACTGACATTTGCTCATGAGACCTAAAATAAAAATAGTTCAACGTGATGTGAGTCATTCCTGAAAAGTGACCAAGGGGTTTCCTCAAATGTAAAAGTTCTTAAAACTTCTCCAAAGAAAAAGCTCATCATTTTGCGAAGGAAATAAAGTCTTCATTTGCAGATATATCTCTGGAACCCCCTAAATGCAGTCATACGACAGACCAAAAACGCAATTAAGAACTTCAAGAGATGAGGTCCATGACTTCTTGGATGAGATGGCAGAGAAAAAAAATAGTTCTTTGTAGATAAAGTATAGTAGGTTGTTTAAATTTCACAATATCAGATCATGACCTTGCAATGGTAAAGAGATCCTTGAGTAGAAAATGCATTCTATTGAAGAGTGTTAAAGTTACCATTTGGAACCGTTGAGAACACGAGGAAGAAACTCCCTTTCAAACAAATGACTGAAAGGCCCATGGCCTACATCATGCAGGAGTCCTATGAATTGGAACAATAAAAAAGGGAAACATCAATTAGCCTGAAAAAGGCAAGTTATTTAATGAATGGAGTTACTTACCCGCAAGTTTAACTGTCTGTATATCAAAGCGATCAATACCAAGCTCCAAGCCCTAAAAAATGGCAGAAATGTAAATAGAAAGTCCTCAAAAATTTCATGTTGTGCCATTAAATGATCAGCATATGCAGATTTCGTACTTGGTGGGCTTTAAGTTTGTGAACAGCTTCACCAGCAAGCCAATACACCCCAAGAGAATGTTCAAACCTAGAATGTACAGCTCCAGGATAAACCATGTGTGCCATACCTAAAAAGTACACATTGAAGTTTAAGCATGTAGAGTGTTCATACACATAGGCAGCAGGTTCAAGTCAAAAGGAATGAAATGTGCACATTACAATAAATGGAAACAAAGTCAATTTTTGCAGTACCATGGAACCCCATACTTGACCGATTTATGCTGTCCTAATTGACAATGCCACAAACTCAATAAAAATGTCGTTGATAAATTAACAGAAACCCCTTTTGCCAATCCAACAAAAAGTAATCCTTATTATCCTCTCTTCATCCACGTTCCATTCTGTTACATCACTAGATCTTACCTCCCATAATATATGTGGAACTATCTTGATTACATTATCTTGGAGAACTCAAAATATAGGTTTGTAGCTCTCGAATCTACTTAAAGGAGAACTCCGAATACGCTCCTGACTTGACTATAAGCAACAAGCATAAAGACAGAACTCTGTTCATAAGTTTGAGAGATGCAGTGGAGGTCGTAATTTTTGCCAGATTCTCGCAAAGTCTGTGCAAGATATGTGATTTCCAAGGGTAACATACGCTGAAACCATAGACAATTATATTTAAACTTTAATTGATCTAAGAAGTGTTGTCTACTAATAATGAAATTAAGATGAGGTCAAGAACTCACCAAGTTGTTTAAGGTCACGAAGCCTGTAAGAGGAAAATAATGTCATTTATATTACTACCATCACAATAACTCAAAAAACATGAATAATCATGAAATATCTGGGGAAAAGGGCTAGTAGGTAGCTCAACTTGCCTCTGAAACTGTTCAGTATCTATAAACTTCAAAAAGATCTGCAAACATATAGAAAAAAGTAACCATACATCAGTACCATAATGCTAAGAAATTCATTATATTATTGAATTAAGGATATAGTTGTCATCGAAACTTTCAAAAACTGCGGCAAACAAGTGAATCAATTCTCAATTGACTCTCTAGTAACTTCATCTAAAACAGACTTGAGTGTATCTTAAGTAAATTCTATTTTACAGAATTCAACCTAGCCATCAACTCTACTGAAAGCCAAACGCACATACACATGAGATCTAAATTTGCTATAATTACGTTGTTCTTATCAGTAATGTAACAACATTAATTATCAAATCCGAAGTTCTCACAATGCATAAGTTCTCAACCAACTCTCTGTTCATTATTTCAACTCCTTCGAAGAAAAAACTAGATATATAATGACAATAGAAGATTACCGGATCAAGATAAATATTGCCATGGACATTGTCGTGGACTTGCTTGGAGAATCTCAGATCTTGTGAAGAGGCGAAATCGTAATTTGGAGAAAAAGTAAGGTCACCATTGCAATAAGCTCCTCCCATACTCAACTTCGTCTCAGGTAAACAATGCAGAGGCGATTATGAATGGAGAACTGAATTTTCAAAAACCTACTGAACAACCAACAGCCATCAGTTACAGCAAGGAACGGCGAGATTAGATATCCAATGAAATTGAAGAATTTCAGAGCGTTACATACCGTGGTTGAAACCAGAAAACTGCAGAGAGAGAGAGAGAGAGAGAGAGAGTTTTCCAGTGAATATTAGCAGGTAATGTGGAGTCGTGGCATGAGTGTGAATTTGGCTCGCAGGGAAGGGGAATATTAAGTAGTAATCAGCACTAGGGCAGGGGGCGCACACGTGAGATGACTACGAAAAATTTTGAAAAAAATTATCAATAAATCCTATTTTTTTAATTAAGGTACGTGCGACAAGAAGAATAAAAAAGTATAATTAATATATTTTTTATCTTTGGAGAAAGAAAGACTTTTTTTCTTCTTCTTATTTAGTAAGATGAATGAAAAAATAGGAGATATAATTTTTTTATTATGTTTATTTATGAGAAATAAATTTTTTAAAAATATATAATTTATTAAATATTATGAATGTCTTATGAAATATTTATCCCGTTCCTAAATATCTGTCGTTTTATATAATTCTTTTTGTTCCATAATATCTGTCGTTTTATAAAATTAAAACATAATAAATATTTTTTTTCAAATTTACCCTTATCTCTTTTTTTTTAATAAGTGTTTAATAGATTAAGTGTACGTTAAGTGTTTTTCATATTCTTTTCCTTCTCAATACGTATTGAATAAGGGTATTTTAGTTTTGTGTAATTATTTTTTACTCATATTAGAGTTATTTAATAACTTTCTTAATTCTTGTGCAAAAATTTTAAACGACAAATATTTAAAAACGGACGAAAGATCAAACCTAAACTCAAAGAAAATTTAATGGGCCCCACCACATTATTCTTTTGCTTGTATTGGAGAAATAAAATAACGTGGTCCACATTACTCCTTTGAAAAGTTTTACGGTGCGTTATTTTGTAGTAGGACATAAAAGTAAATAGGACAAATTCAATCATATATTTTTAGTTTATCATATCTTTAAGAATGTTTTTTTTTATTTTTTAAATTTTTATTGACACCCTCTATCAGTTTAAAAATTTTAATTAAAATATAATTTTACTAAATTGACAAAGATATATTGTAGGAAAAACTTTATTCATACACCCTTTAGATATACATATCTTTGACCAGGTCCTCTTTATTTTCTAAATTTTTTTAGTATTAAAATTTGACTCGACTTAATTACAATTCATTTTTAATGTCTTAAAATTTGAGTCAATTAAAAATTATATTTTTTTACGCATTAAAATTTATGCTGATTAAATTTTAATCAATTTGAATCGAATCTTAATTGACATGAATTTTAATAAATAAAAAAATATAAATTTTAATTAATTTGAATTAAATTTTAATTGACAATAATAGCTCAGGTAAAGTTCAAATTGGCTCAAATTTTAATACTTAAAAAAATAATTTCAATAGGGCCAATTTTTAATACATAAAAAAATAAAATTTAATTAGTTCGAATCGAATTTTAATCAACTTGAATTTTAATATGTAAAAAAATGAATTTAATCAACTCGAATTTTAATATATAAAAAAATAAATTTTAATCGAATTTTATGTACAAAAATTATTTAGGTCTATGTAGAGATAATTTTGATATTTTAGATAAACTTTTGTGTTAGAAACGATGGTTTAAAATCAGAGGCGTCGGTGATATTTAAATGTAAACTTGAAGAGGTGTTAGTGATGTTTCGGTTAATAGATGAGGTATCTTTAAAAATATGATAAATTAAAAAAAATATGACTAAAATTTTTTCAAAGTAAATTCATCCTCGCAATCATGAGGCTTCCATTTTTCCTCCCACTTTTCGCCCTCAAATTCGGTCGAACAAATGTTGTGTGTTCTGCCGATTGAAATTTGGGTGTTTGTGCCACCTTTGACTATAGGTTTTAGTGTAGAGATTGAAATATGGCTTACTTAGAAGAGATATGGCATTGGATTATTCCACCAAGAACTCTTTGAATGTAGGTATGGTGGGACATACTCACAATGACCTCTTCTCATAAAGATACAATAATTAATGTAAGAACTCATTTAATTACCATAATCCATTTTACACGTGACGATTGATTTTAATTAATTCGCTCACAATCAATTTCAAATCGATCTCAAATCTCAAACCCAAATTGTATAACTATGTATAAATAGATAGTTAAACAATCATTTCAATAAATGTATAGTGCGTGTGTGCTAAGAAATACAAGTGTGTATAATAATCAATAAGAAACACAAATAATTTGTTAGGGTTGATTCACTTTCCACCAATTTTCCTTTCATTCCTCTTTTTCCTTCCAAGTAAGAATGATTCACAAAGAAGTGCAACAAATTTTTTCACACACTCCAAATTGAGCGAGTCCTATTGAGGTTATTATAAAGGGTAATGCTATTGAAATTTAAAATTTTAATTTAATGATATAATTTTATTGTAAATAGGAGAATACAAGACAATTATAGATAAATGGATAAAATCTAAAATTAAATAAGGAATAAAAATAATACCAAATTTAGTCAAGTGTTTGTTAAATACAGTACTAAGAGTTGAATAATAAGTATTAAGTTCAATATAATGTTTAGTTAGGTAATTTATTTAATGGTACTAAAATGAGTAGACTAAAATGCCCTTAATCATCTCCAATTTGTTCTCTGATAGTGATTCAATATTTCGTAAGACTATAAATAGAACCAAAAGCTATGTAAATATTATTTATTATGAATATTTTAAATAATATAAGAATTAAAAAAGTATGCTTTAATTCCATAAAATTATATTTTGGATATATGCATTTATTTACTTTTAATGTCGTTGCTTATCATCCATGTGAACGACAAATGAGATGCATATTTTACAAGTTATCCATATGAGACGAACGTCGAGTCATTGTAAAAATATGAAGGGTTAGTTTGTTATGAAATCAGGATGTTTATGTAATTTTTCTTAAATTAAATAAGAAGGACTAATCACATAGATTTTTCTTAGATTAAGGGTAAAATTATAAAATAACGATATAATACATCTAAGTCGTATTATAATACTACATCTCTTGATAGAATTAAAATAGCTAAATAGTACAAATAGATTGTATTAGAATTATCCATAAGAAATATTTATTTAATTAAACTCTATATAAATGTATTATAAACTCGTATTAAAACGTTTTAATTCAACATAACTCTTTAATACACTTTATAATACAATAACCAAGTGACCCCGTCAAAGGTCACCACTTTCACCGACATTTTTGCCCAAATGTCGAGCACAATAATTTTATGAGTTGGTAGGGTGTGGATGGAAGAATGTGAGTGATTTATTTTCTATGGAGAATTGTTTTTTTCTTTTGTATTTAGTAAGAGGGATTAAGAATATAAAAAATTAATTTTTATATCTAATAAAAAATAAAAAATAAAAATGAAAGGATAAAAAAAATATAAATATATATTTTATCATTATATTTATATATAAAACTAATATTTACATAATATATAATAGATAAATATAAAATAAACATATATTAATATTAAAAAATATAAAAGTAACTACCATACATTTTAACAAACATAATTAATATTTCTTCTCAATTTTAGAGGGACAAATTTTAGTGAATTAAAAAAAAAAAGTTAATCCATCAATTTTTTTATTTATTTTTATTTTTTTGTTATCAAACATAATATTTTATTTATATTTTCAAAATTAAATCCTTTTTATTCAACCATGCATGAGAGTCACTAAGGAAAATAAAATGAACATTAACTTCCAAATAGGCGTCTCTATACGTTAGAAGGAGTTATAAGCAACTCTCACCATCCTTTCAGTCTCATCACCAACCACCACAACGACAAACACAAACACAACCACAACCACAACCACAAACACAACCACAACCACAACAATCACCCGCACTGATCATCTTTCTTTAAAACCACACATCACACAGACAGACACAGTCCATCGCTAAGAATCACTTAGAAACCCATTTTTTTCCTCTCCTAGTGTCATGGATAGCAACTCTACTACTACTTCTATACCCTCTCACATGAAGGCTTGGGCCTATTCCGAGTATGGGAACGCAGTTGATGTACTGAAATTGGACAAAAACGTATCTGTTCCTGAGGTTAGGGATGATCAGGTTCTGATCAAGGTTGTTGCCGCTGCGCTTAATCCTGTGGATGCAAAGAGGATGCTTGGGTTCTTCAAGGCCACTGATTCTCCTCTGCCTGTAAATTTCTCTTTCTGCCCATCTTTACTCATTGGTTTCTTGAGTTTTTTGTAGTCTTTAGTCTTCACTCTTCTTTCCTTTTTTCTACGAATGTCCTTGTTCGATCGGCTCGATTCTGTCCTAGTCTTTGACTCCAGTTTTAAAATATTTTGCAAATTTTAGCGTCCTTAGGGCCTAACTCGTTGGGCAGGCCATGGACTAAAGATTTCTGGCCCCAGATCGACACATTGACAAGGTAAAGCTTCACACGCCTGTCCGGCCCGGCTCATTGCCGTGGCTTATATATAGTTATAGGTATATGTAGGGGTAGTTTAATCGTGTTCCCCTGCGAATGAGTGGGCTAACCATATTTTGCAACAGGGGTGAACCAAAATGCATATGAGTTTATGTCAAATCTTAAAAGAGCAATGGTACATGACCTTATTTGGTTACTTAATTTGAGGACTTAATAATGTGGTTTCAATTCAACTATTAGAGTAGTTATGAGTTCCAATGTTAAATGAATCCCACAACCAATCTAATGGTTGTATTGAATTAGATCCCTAGATTAGGTCCAAATAGTATTTTTCATCTTAAAATAACTCAGAGGATTTTGTGTTAAATATGAATTGATTTGATGGGTGTTCTCGCATTAAATTGCCTGTTGTTCATGTCATAAATTACCCGGATAATCAATACACGGACATTAAATTGTCTGTTGTTTATATCATAAACTACCCTGATAATCGACACGAGGACATGATACTTGGGAGCGGAGTTACTCAGTGTAAACAAATTTTTATACGTGTTTTGATGTACTTATAAATTTAGAAAAATATTTTTTGGACCTAATTTTGGAACTTAATTTAGGACCTAATTCAATACAACTATTGGATTGGTTGTGGGCTCCATCTAACATAGGAACTCAAAACTAATATAATGACTGCATTGAAGCCACATCATTTAATCCTCAAATTAAATTAGGTACCTATAGTATTACTCATAAATTTATTGTCTCAAAAAAAAATTAAATAAAAAAATCTCATGCATCTTAATTCACTTAATCATCTCTCATATTTGGATTAAACTTCTACTCTAATTTCGTAAATTTTAATAATTCACTTATTAAATACCGTTGACTTGTCATGGAAAACAATTTCTCTGTGTTCTCTGTGTCTTTATATCTCTTGTCATCTCTTTTTNATCCCGTTCCTAAATATCTGTCGTTTTATATAATTCTTTTTGTTCCATAATATCTGTCGTTTTATAAAATTAAAACATAATAAATATTTTTTTTCAAATTTACCCTTATCTCTTTTTTTTTAATAAGTGTTTAATAGATTAAGTGTACGTTAAGTGTTTTTCATATTCTTTTCCTTCTCAATACGTATTGAATAAGGGTATTTTAGTTTTGTGTAATTATTTTTTACTCATATTAGAGTTATTTAATAACTTTCTTAATTCTTGTGCAAAAATTTTAAACGACAAATATTTAAAAACGGACGAAAGATCAAACCTAAACTCAAAGAAAATTTAATGGGCCCCACCACATTATTCTTTTGCTTGTATTGGAGAAATAAAATAACGTGGTCCACATTACTCCTTTGAAAAGTTTTACGGTGCGTTATTTTGTAGTAGGACATAAAAGTAAATAGGACAAATTCAATCATATATTTTTAGTTTATCATATCTTTAAGAATGTTTTTTTTTATTTTTTAAATTTTTATTGACACCCTCTATCAGTTTAAAAATTTTAATTAAAATATAATTTTACTAAATTGACAAAGATATATTGTAGGAAAAACTTTATTCATACACCCTTTAGATATACATATCTTTGACCAGGTCCTCTTTATTTTCTAAATTTTTTTAGTATTAAAATTTGACTCGACTTAATTACAATTCATTTTTAATGTCTTAAAATTTGAGTCAATTAAAAATTATATTTTTTTACGCATTAAAATTTATGCTGATTAAATTTTAATCAATTTGAATCGAATCTTAATTGACATGAATTTTAATAAATAAAAAAATATAAATTTTAATTAATTTGAATTAAATTTTAATTGACAATAATAGCTCAGGTAAAGTTCAAATTGGCTCAAATTTTAATACTTAAAAAAATAATTTCAATAGGGCCAATTTTTAATACATAAAAAAATAAAATTTAATTAGTTCGAATCGAATTTTAATCAACTTGAATTTTAATATGTAAAAAAATGAATTTAATCAACTCGAATTTTAATATATAAAAAAATAAATTTTAATCGAATTTTATGTACAAAAATTATTTAGGTCTATGTAGAGATAATTTTGATATTTTAGATAAACTTTTGTGTTAGAAACGATGGTTTAAAATCAGAGGCGTCGGTGATATTTAAATGTAAACTTGAAGAGGTGTTAGTGATGTTTCGGTTAATAGATGAGGTATCTTTAAAAATATGATAAATTAAAAAAAATATGACTAAAATTTTTTCAAAGTAAATTCATCCTCGCAATCATGAGGCTTCCATTTTTCCTCCCACTTTTCGCCCTCAAATTCGGTCGAACAAATGTTGTGTGTTCTGCCGATTGAAATTTGGGTGTTTGTGCCACCTTTGACTATAGGTTTTAGTGTAGAGATTGAAATATGGCTTACTTAGAAGAGATATGGCATTGGATTATTCCACCAAGAACTCTTTGAATGTAGGTATGGTGGGACATACTCACAATGACCTCTTCTCATAAAGATACAATAATTAATGTAAGAACTCATTTAATTACCATAATCCATTTTACACGTGACGATTGATTTTAATTAATTCGCTCACAATCAATTTCAAATCGATCTCAAATCTCAAACCCAAATTGTATAACTATGTATAAATAGATAGTTAAACAATCATTTCAATAAATGTATAGTGCGTGTGTGCTAAGAAATACAAGTGTGTATAATAATCAATAAGAAACACAAATAATTTGTTAGGGTTGATTCACTTTCCACCAATTTTCCTTTCATTCCTCTTTTTCCTTCCAAGTAAGAATGATTCACAAAGAAGTGCAACAAATTTTTTCACACACTCCAAATTGAGCGAGTCCTATTGAGGTTATTATAAAGGGTAATGCTATTGAAATTTAAAATTTTAATTTAATGATATAATTTTATTGTAAATAGGAGAATACAAGACAATTATAGATAAATGGATAAAATCTAAAATTAAATAAGGAATAAAAATAATACCAAATTTAGTCAAGTGTTTGTTAAATACAGTACTAAGAGTTGAATAATAAGTATTAAGTTCAATATAATGTTTAGTTAGGTAATTTATTTAATGGTACTAAAATGAGTAGACTAAAATGCCCTTAATCATCTCCAATTTGTTCTCTGATAGTGATTCAATATTTCGTAAGACTATAAATAGAACCAAAAGCTATGTAAATATTATTTATTATGAATATTTTAAATAATATAAGAATTAAAAAAGTATGCTTTAATTCCATAAAATTATATTTTGGATATATGCATTTATTTACTTTTAATGTCGTTGCTTATCATCCATGTGAACGACAAATGAGATGCATATTTTACAAGTTATCCATATGAGACGAACGTCGAGTCATTGTAAAAATATGAAGGGTTAGTTTGTTATGAAATCAGGATGTTTATGTAATTTTTCTTAAATTAAATAAGAAGGACTAATCACATAGATTTTTCTTAGATTAAGGGTAAAATTATAAAATAACGATATAATACATCTAAGTCGTATTATAATACTACATCTCTTGATAGAATTAAAATAGCTAAATAGTACAAATAGATTGTATTAGAATTATCCATAAGAAATATTTATTTAATTAAACTCTATATAAATGTATTATAAACTCGTATTAAAACGTTTTAATTCAACATAACTCTTTAATACACTTTATAATACAATAACCAAGTGACCCCGTCAAAGGTCACCACTTTCACCGACATTTTTGCCCAAATGTCGAGCACAATAATTTTATGAGTTGGTAGGGTGTGGATGGAAGAATGTGAGTGATTTATTTTCTATGGAGAATTGTTTTTTTCTTTTGTATTTAGTAAGAGGGATTAAGAATATAAAAAATTAATTTTTATATCTAATAAAAAATAAAAATGAAAGGATAAAAAAAATATAAATATATATTTTATCATTATATTTATATATAAAACTAATATTTACATAATATATAATAGATAAATATAAAATAAACATATATTAATATTAAAAAATATAAAAGTAACTACCATACATTTTAACAAACATAATTAATATTTCTTCTCAATTTTAGAGGGACAAATTTTAGTGAATTAAAAAAAAAAAGTTAATCCATCAATTTTTTTATTTATTTTTATTTTTTTGTTATCAAACATAATATTTTATTTATATTTTCAAAATTAAATCCTTTTTATTCAACCATGCATGAGAGTCACTAAGGAAAATAAAATGAACATTAACTTCCAAATAGGCGTCTCTATACGTTAGAAGGAGTTATAAGCAACTCTCACCATCCTTTCAGTCTCATCACCAACCACCACAACGACAAACACAAACACAACCACAACCACAACCACAAACACAACCACAACCACAACAATCACCCGCACTGATCATCTTTCTTTAAAACCACACATCACACAGACAGACACAGTCCATCGCTAAGAATCACTTAGAAACCCATTTTTTTCCTCTCCTAGTGTCATGGATAGCAACTCTACTACTACTTCTATACCCTCTCACATGAAGGCTTGGGCCTATTCCGAGTATGGGAACGCAGTTGATGTACTGAAATTGGACAAAAACGTATCTGTTCCTGAGGTTAGGGATGATCAGGTTCTGATCAAGGTTGTTGCCGCTGCGCTTAATCCTGTGGATGCAAAGAGGATGCTTGGGTTCTTCAAGGCCACTGATTCTCCTCTGCCTGTAAATTTCTCTTTCTGCCCATCTTTACTCATTGGTTTCTTGAGTTTTTTGTAGTCTTTAGTCTTCACTCTTCTTTCCTTTTTTCTACGAATGTCCTTGTTCGATCGGCTCGATTCTGTCCTAGTCTTTGACTCCAGTTTTAAAATATTTTGCAAATTTTAGCGTCCTTAGGGCCTAACTCGTTGGGCAGGCCATGGACTAAAGATTTCTAGCCCCAGATCGACACATTGACAAGGTAAAGCTTCACACGCCTGTCCGGCCCGGCTCATTGCCGTGGCTTATATATAGTTATAGGTATATGTAGGGGTAGTTTAATCGTGTTCCCCTGCGAATGAGTGGGCTAACCATATTTTGCAACAGGGGTGAACCAAAATGCATATGAGTTTATGTCAAATCTTAAAAGAGCAATGGTACATGACCTTATTTGGTTACTTAATTTGAGGACTTAATAATGTGGTTTCAATTCAACTATTAGAGTAGTTATGAGTTCCAATGTTAAATGAATCCCACAACCAATCTAATGGTTGTATTGAATTAGATCCCTAGATTAGGTCCAAATAGTATTTTTCATCTTAAAATAACTCAGAGGATTTTGTGTTAAATATGAATTGATTTGATGGGTGTTCTCGCATTAAATTGCCTGTTGTTCATGTCATAAATTACCCGGATAATCAATACACGGACATTAAATTGTCTGTTGTTTATATCATAAACTACCCTGATAATCGACACGAGGACATGATACTTGGGAGCGGAGTTACTCAGTGTAAACAAATTTTTATACGTGTTTTGATGTACTTATAAATTTAGAAAAATATTTTTTGGACCTAATTTTGGAACTTAATTTAGGACCTAATTCAATACAACTATTGGATTGGTTGTGGGCTCCATCTAACATAGGAACTCAAAACTAATATAATGACTGCATTGAAGCCACATCATTTAATCCTCAAATTAAATTAGGTACCTATAGTATTACTCATAAATTTATCCTCTCAAAAAAAAATTAAATAAAAAAATCTCATGCATCTTAATTCACTTAATCATCTCTCATATTTGGATTAAACTTCTACTCTAATTTCGTAAATTTTAATAATTCACTTATTAAATACCGTTGACTTGTCATGGAAAACAATTTCTCTGTGTTCTCTGTGTCTTTATATCTCTTGTCATCTCTTTTTTTTTTTTGGGGGGGGGAAGGAGAAGGAGACTTGAACCATTGAAGAAGCCAAAATTTTTACAAAAGAAAGAGTATCATTAAATCAAAGGTTTGGTTGGTGTCATCTCTTGCTCTTTTTCTCACCGTTGGTAATTTAGATATACTGGAAAAACATCAATAATTATGTTGGTAATGAGATTATTTTACAATGATTTCAAATTATAAAAAGTAGTCAAAAATATTATAAATGTGTTTAATAGAATTGTTACTAATCAATATTTAAGGATTTGTAGTTATTACTAAGTCAATCTTATTTATTGTGTTATTGTTCAAATTTACCACCACTAGGGTAAATTTCAGGCTCTTCCCGGTCCCGGATGATACCCCAATGTGACTAGCAATTAAGCTTGCTATTATTGTCTTCTTTTTGTATTTTTATATCTGAAGTGAGGCTATGAATTGTCACACAGACTGTTCCAGGTTATGATGTTGCTGGTGTGGTGGTCAAGGTGGGAAGCCAAGTGAAACATCTCAAGGAAGGAGACGAAGTGTATGGGGATATAAATGAGGAAGCTTTGAACAACCCCAAACAGTTTGGTTCTCTGGCTGAGTACACTGCCGTTGAAGAGAAGCTATTGGCTCTAAAACCTAAGAATCTTAGTTTCGCTGAAGCCGCTAGCCTTGCACTTGCCATTGAGACTGCTAATGAGGGCCTCAAACGCGCCGGACTTTCAACTGGTAAATCTATCCTTGTTTTAGGTGGTGCTGGTGGAGTTGGAACTCTGGTAATTCAGGTATACCTTCCCTATTCTGTTCTGGCTTTAGATACAACTTGAAGTTGAAGTTGTATATATATGGTATGAGGACAACAATGAACTATAAGTTTTAATTTACACCTCATTCCTGTTACCGCTTGAATTACCCTTAGGGTTAAAATTGTGGATTACGGACTTACAAATGTATGTGTTCCTTTTATTTTGTATGGGACAGCTAGCAAAACATGTATTTGGTGCATCAAAAATTGCAGCTACTTCCAGCTCTGGAAAATTGGAGTTGTTGAAGAGTTTGGGAGCTGATTTGGCCATTGATTACAATAAGGAGAACTTTGAAGATCTGCCAGACAAATTTGATGTGGTATATGATGCCGTTGGTAAAATTCTGAACTTCTTGTCAAGTTCATGCTTGTAGTGGTATGTCAATTAATTGCAAGTTCATACATGTAGTCAAATGCTATTAACATTTTACCGGTAGAGAGCACAGAAATTTTATGCATTAAGAGTATGCCTGGTTTCTCTGATCGAGGGTGTTTCTCAGGCTGATACTTCTCTAATTTAGAATGTGACAATAAAAAAATCAAATACTTGCAGGGCAGTGCGATAAGGCGGTGAAGGCAGTGAAAGAAGGCGGAAGCGTGGTGGCAATAATCGGTGCAGTCACTCCACCTGCTTTCATATTTGTAGTTACATCAAATGGATCTGTCTTAGAAAAACTAAACCCTTTCTTGGAGAGTGGCAAGGTGAAGGCAGTGATAGACCCTAAAGGCCCATTCCCATTCTCTCAGACCATTGAAGCATTTTCTCATCTCGAAACTGGCAGAGCTATTGGTAAGGTGGTGATATATCCAGTCCCATGAGAGAAGAGAAGGGACCGGAGTCACTTAGTTATTAAGCAGTAGTGCTCCTTTTATTTGTATTACAAGGCCAAGATGTTGTGTTAAAAAGTATCCCTTATTTATGTGACCCTATTCCTACCGGTTAAAAGACACTAGTGTGAGACAATATGGAGATATATATCTAAGTCAGTTTTTGATGTGTAGCCACACATGGCTGCAGGCGTAGACAATAATTTTAAAAGAAGAGGTTAAATTACACTTTCTAGCTGATTCAGACTATGATCTGGCTCANCAAGTATAATTTGTAGACAATAATTTTAAAAGAAGAGGTTAAATTACACTTTCTAGCTGATTCGGACTATGATCAAGCTCGAGAAATGAGATATTTATTTCCTATTAATTATTTAAAACAATTTTTATTCAATCTTATGACTTGGTAATGATTAATAAAATGTTAAACCTGACATATATAGTTAATTACAAGCAATTTCATCCACAATAGCCAAAATATTATGATATAATATTTTTGCACTCAACAATTAGTTATCATGCCTCCCACTGGTAAATTGAACATCATACATGCTTGTGTGAGTCTCTTGTTATTGTGGGATATATTTAGGAAGTGGTAAAATTAAAAAAGGTCATTTAAAAGCTAAGATCAAGTCTTATGTTACATTAATGTAATAAGAATATGTCTAGAGAGGCGTGAAATATAGAAACAAGTATCTTCTAGCTTCCTCTATTGTCAGGCATAGCTTCAACCACCAAGGTTACATTATTGATATCAAGTAGATGTATTTTCCCTCACATAGTTCAAATAACTATCATCTAATGGAAAAGACATAATTTCCATATTTAATTTGCATTTCCTGACTCAGTTTAGGTTATGGAGCTCCATTGGTATATATATCTATAGGCCTTTTTCTTGGCAAATCATCCTTCCCATTTAGGCGCCATCTTTGCAGTCCAAGCACCAATAGTAATCGGACCTTGACNCCTCTCAAAAAAAAATTAAATAAAAAAATCTCATGCATCTTAATTCACTTAATCATCTCTCATATTTGGATTAAACTTCTACTCTAATTTCGTAAATTTTAATAATTCACTTATTAAATACCGTTGACTTGTCATGGAAAACAATTTCTCTGTGTTCTCTGTGTCTTTATATCTCTTGTCATCTCTTTTTTTTTTTTGGGGGGGGGAAGGAGAAGGAGACTTGAACCATTGAAGAAGCCAAAATTTTTACAAAAGAAAGAGTATCATTAAATCAAAGGTTTGGTTGGTGTCATTTCTTGCTCTTTTTCTCACCGTTGGTAATTTAGATATACCGGAAAAACATCAATAATTATGTTGGTAATGAGATTATTTTACAATGATTTCAAATTATAAAAAGTAGTCAAAAATATTATAAATGTGTTTAATAGAATTGTTACTAATCAATATTTAAGGATTTGTAGTTATTACTAAGTCAATCTTATTTATTGTGTTATTGTTCAAATTTACCACCACTAGGGTAAATTTCAGGCTCTTCCCGGTCCCGGATGATACCCCAATGTGACTAGCAATTAAGCTTGCTATTATTGTCTTCTTTTTGTATTTTTATATCTGAAGTGAGGCTATGAATTGTCACACAGACTGTTCCAGGTTATGATGTAGCTGGTGTGGTGGTCAAGGTGGGAAGCCAAGTGAAACATCTCAAGGAAGGAGACGAAGTGTATGGAGATATAAATGAGGAAGCTTTGAACAACCCCAAACAGTTTGGTTCTCTGGCTGAGTACACTGCCGTTGAAGAGAAGCTATTGGCTCTAAAACCTAAGAATCTTAGTTTCGCTGAAGCCGCTAGCCTTGCACTTGCCATTGAGACTGCTAATGAGGGCCTCAAACGCGCCGGACTTTCAACTGGTAAATCTATCCTTGTTTTAGGTGGTGCTGGTGGAGTTGGAACTCTGGTAATTCAGGTATACCTTCCCTATTCTGTTCTGGCTTTAGATACAACTTGAAGTTGAAGTTGTATATATATGGTATGAGGACAACAACGAACTATAAGTTTTAATTTACACCTCATTCCTGTTACCACTTGAATT